GGATCTCACTTATCCATGTACTTGAACCAGGCAAAAGCCGCCCCTTCCAAGCACATACTAGCCGCCATCAATCTCTCCTCCTCCATCAGGCCATTCACTGCAAAATATCTCTCTACCTTGTGGATCCACTCATCCACATTCCCCTCTTCGAAAACTGGCATTTTCAGCTTTCTGGCCCTCGTGTCCACCCCGTATGCCCTATTCCCCCCATGGCCTCCTCTGTCCCAAGCTATAGGGTCTTCCCAAGTTCCTCTCTCTCCATATCGGGGCTTATCCTCCCTCCTTGGCCGTCGGTAGCCATCTTCCCCTCGTGCCCCGCCATGGTGGTTATAGATCCCCCATGGCCGATCTAATGGGTCGGGCCTCCGACGTCGCCAATCATCTTCTCTTCCTTCTCTGAAGTCTCTCCTTCTGTCATGTTCTTCCCGCCTGATGGACTCCCGAGGTGGCATCCTTCCGTTGCTGTCAAGCAGTTCCACCTCTTCCTCTTCTGGATTCACCTTCTCCTTACCCTTGCTCCCACTACCTTCTCCTCTTTCCTCCGCTGGCACAGCCCTTGCTTGCCCTTCCAACAACTTTTTCATCATCTCCTCCAAGGCCATGAATTTCCCTTCCACATTCTCGCTCAATGTCGCCATCTTCTCCTCTAGATCCGCTTTAAATTGACCCATCTCGGTCTCCAAGATTTCTACCCGCTTAGATGCCATGGGAACCAAAGAGATGCCTCCGGATCCCCCTTCCAACAGCGAAAATCTGCAGCGAAACAGTGGAAAAAACAGCCCTCCGCCGCCCGGATCTCGCTCTGATACCAATTTGATAGGTACCACTTGAATATTTCAAGTGATTCCTATCGAATCGAAGCCAAATCACAAGTAACCCGTTGTTTTCTATGGGAAAACAGCCACCAAACACAAAAACAGCGAACCAACGTGAAGAAAACTGAGAGAAATTGAGGGAAATTGTTGTAGATTGCAAAAAAATAACGAAGCGATACAATGATCCTCTATTCGAGAGGAGGATCCACTCTCCCGACGCTCTCTAGATGAAAATCTAGAGCCCCATGACCTCCCCCCATAGCAATTCTCAAGCACACAAGCAATAATCAAGATAAACCTAAAACCTAGATTAATTCCCTCTTAATACAATCTAATTCAAAACAAAAGCAAAAGGACATCTCTACCCTTCGTTCTCCCTCCAAAATCATTTAAATTTTGTTTGAATTGCTAGTGGACCCCACCCCCAAGCCCCCTGCTTCTTCCGCCGGCTGTGCGTCCCGCTTCCGCCTGGAGAAGACCCGGACCGGCTGGGCCAGTCTAGGTTGGGCCGGTCCAGGTTAGACCGGCCTAACACATTTCTACGTCAAAAGAAAAGTTTCTCCGCAAGTCAGATCTTCCGTTGCAATCTTTTTTGCTATGAATAGTTTGAGATGGGCTATGTCATCACAAAGATTTCATCTTGGAAAGGAATAGATTAGGAAGCGAAGCGACTAAGCTTCTTTGAATTGTGGGCCATCCACTCCGGTAGTATACATATATAGGTCTTGGTTCAAAACTTAGCTAAAACTAAGAGCAGTTAGTTGTAGATAACCACTCCACCCATGATATATATATATATATATAACCAAAGTTGTACCAACAACCATAAATTCCCCAACGAGCTGTGTTTCAACATCCGATTTTGAATCTTCCTAGCTTGCAGTATGCTAATAATATGAACTACTGACGAGGATTATTCTAAAAAGCGAGAGAGAGATGCTTTCTCTTCAAAATATTAGAAGCTATTTGTGCTTGTAGGTCTTGGAAATAGGAGAGGATATCAAATAGTACCTCAGGCGACTTGGTTCATGAAGGAAACGAGAGAGAAGTGGTTTGGTACTAACTAAACGAATTTGAGTCCGTTGAGCGGATCTCCTAAATCTCTTAAGAATAGGTGAAACCCACCTCATGGGCTTTTCATATCTTTAGTTTCTGGCCAATCCTATCTTGATTGATCGTCTATGTTCACTTGAACCGGGAAAAAGTATTTATCACTCTTCTATAGGTTCGACCTACTGACAAAAGGAAAAGGAAAACCTGTCGTTTAGCCTTTTGAAGCGATCCTTTGAAAGGATATACCGAGGTTGGTCACAACAACTTGAGTAGACAACGCTAGCATAAGAGGCAGAAAATATCATAAAGTACCACAAAGGGGCCACCCTTGCTTGGTAAAGTAAAGAAGACTAAAATGAAATACTCAGCGCCTTTGAGAAGCAAACGATCTATCCAAACCCAAAGTTAGAAACATTTTTCTAGAGACTACATCGTACTAGTTGCTTTGAAGCACCTGGAATTGATGATGGCTCATACTTCATTGTAGTTTTTGGCCAAATTAGAGAAGAAAGGACTTTTCTGGAGTGATCTGATCTGGATGGTACTTGGGTAGAGATTAGGAAATTATTAGCTAACCTAATATGTTAGGTACCAATGAAAGAGTAATAACCATCTATTACCCTCAGACGATTGATCGAGTGTTGCTTGCTGCAACAATAAGACTTTCTTTTGTATACTTAATATGCTTCAGAAGTGCTAGTCTCACTTCCGAAAGAATAAGAACTAGATTGATGAGAGGAATATCTTGTGTACATAAATTCACCGAGAATAGCTAGTGACAGCACGAACCCATCACATCACACTCATGGGCATAGGTGTTCACAGTCGTTAGATTACATTTTGATAGTTTCAACAAATGTTGTCAGTTTCAGTCTTGCCTCATTTTGAGGTTGTTGGTTCCTATCTTCATTAGATTCTTCCTTGCGTCCCCAATCTCACTCGTGAATCTTCTGGCGTCTCTTCCCGACCCCGATCATAAACTGTAAAATGCAAGGAAATTTAGAATAATTCACTCTTTACTTCATTAACTATTTATTTATTACTCTTTTACTTTTCTTACTTTGAATTAGCGAACTGCTCTAAATTTTATTATCTCCATTTTTATTATCTTAATGGATACAAAATCCAATTGATTTACAACTAATCATTATCAATTGCATTTTCAATTATAATTATAATAAAATATGTGTATATGTAAACCCTAGAATAGAATTTTTTATACGTGAAACATGGATATCGAGCCCGGGTCTATTTCTTATGCACATATCCTATCCCTATACATGATCATCGTGCTTGAATATTTCATTGAATATGAATAGAAGATGGACATTGTGATAGAGTGCAATTGAACCTTTGTTGCACCAAGTTCAATTATGAGAAAAGATGTGATATAAGGATAGCTAGATAGCTATATAATAGAAAGTCTATGTTGTTTTCTTTTGTTTATATCTTATTCATAGAGAGCAGACGAAATTCTAAATTCATTGATTTTTTCTTTTTTTGTACCCTGATCGTAATATCATACTAAAAGAATTAGGTATAAATTGAATCAATTTTAATATTCGATAAAAGACTCCATCAGCCTAAGTAACAGAATTTTTCCTAGGAGTGCTTTATCAATTTCCATTTCTTTCTATTTGTACCCGGCTCAAGTTCAAATTCGAATTTGCATAAAAAATGCCCTCCATTTCTTTGTCTTGCTTTTGTTCATATGTATAATATATATGGATGGAGTTAATTAAAATTTTTTGTGATTCAGTAAAGAATATATCTATTCTATCATTTCTAGATCAATCGGTGGGGTTCAATGAATAGTGAGCCAAGCCAATAATGAGATTTTTTCAAGAAAGTGGAAACCTCAGATTAAGATGCTCCATAATGGAAATGAGGGAATGTCCACAATACATGGATTTTGTCGGATACAATTTAAGGGATTTTGTAGGTTCATTAATCAAGGATATTGTAGGTAAATGATTGGGAAGTATGTGGGCTAACAAAGATATGAAGGTCTATACATCAATAATGGTTCTAGAAGAGGGCCGGGTTTCAACCTTTTGTGTGGAGAATTTTTCGCAAAAAAGAACATCTTTTAGTTGTCTCTCTATAGTAAGGTTAAGGTAACACTTCGAATAAATAATGGTTTGTAGTGATCTACGCACTTATGTTTGCGGATAATACTTAGGAGAACGACTCAGAGTGTGTAGCCTTTCACTATTTCTTTAGAAGTAAGTTCATAATGCCATTAATGATCTTGCAGTTGACGGAATGTTGTATACGCAATTTCGCATACCAGACCCTTTTGTTCTTGAAGAACAAAACGCTTCGTGCCTTTTTTTCTTCTATATACATATACTTATATTTCATGCAGGCATGGACACTTAAGCACATAAATATTTATTTATAAATAAATAATATCATTTAGGAATTTAGATTTTTTTTTTAATAAGACATTTGGCTCAAATGAGCTCGAAAACTGCTAGCAATCAATCATTGACTCAACTTGTACTTGCCTCGCGCTGAAATCAAAATGTTTAACTTCAAGTTGAGGTTGACTCCCTTGAACTCTATTCGATACCAAACATAGCAAAGTGTGTGCTAGAGTATGTGCATGTGACATGTACAACTGATGCACTTGTACACAGCTATGCCCAACCCTGTAAATTCCTTGTAGTCAACTTTTCACATTTACTCTGTGTGTGTTATACACCTATTACTGGCTCCTTAGAAGAACTTATCTCAGACCTGTGCTGCTAAAGTTATTTTCCAGTGCGTATTTTAACTGAACCATGCTTTGTTTGTTTGTTTTTTTTTTTCTAGTTTTTTTCTTCATTGTTGAGTGTTCTTGTGATGTTCCCTGGTATGGGTGATCCGTAGATTTATTTATTTCTTTGTAGTTTTGCATTTTTAAATTTTGACTGGATTAACCTATGCGTAATATCCTCCATTGCCTTTCATTTAGCGTAGTAATGTGGTGCTATAGGTAAGGATATGTCATTTACGTTTTAGGTTTGTGCATTTGCTTGTTGGATTTATTCTATCCTTGGATTGGAAGTTGGAATAGCCTTTTCCAATTGGAACTAGTGTTGATCTTGTTCAAGTGTGATTCTAATTTTTAAATGTTGATTTTACCAGGTTCTCTGAGCCACTAAGGAGATTCTGCAGTGTCAATGAAGCTCCTGAACGGAAAAAAGATAACAACAAAATGATTGCTGGTTCTCAAATATTCGTGGGCATTGATGAATCCTTGTCTGGACACAAGCCTTCAGAGTTTAAGAAATGTGGTAATATTTTGAGGAGACTATTTTCTCAATTTATTGGAGAAATCATGGAGGGAATGGCAGGATATTTACCCGTCCCTGCAGTTATATCCAAGCTCCTTTCAGAAAATAGAAATCAAGAGTTTGGTGATTTTAAAATGACTATTCTAAAAATGCTGGGAACTTACAATTATGAGAGAAGAATACTGGTATTTCCCATTAACACAATCTGCTGAATTTCTTTAACTTCTTTGATAATTCCTTAGCTCATCTTGATCTGCAGCTTACTGGGATGCCTTCTATTTGTGATACAACTTTGGATAGATATGCTTAGCAGTTGTTGCCTATTTGTGTTCTTTCGTTATTCTAAAAGCTACAAGATATAATTTGCTGCTAAACATTTTACTACTGAAATCGTCCTAAACCAATTTTATGATCTTTCTGCCTTAGTTTCATCTTTTCTGATTATATCATTCTGGGTCCTTGAATTGAAGTACCTTGTATACGAATTGGAGTTCTTGTCTGAAAAGTAACTGTTGATCCCTACAGGCCTACAGCAAGTAAAAAAAAATCATCAAAATAAAACATACCTCAGCACTGTCAAATCCTCCACAAAATTCAGCGGATTTCTCCTGGAATTACGCTCAAATCCTTACAAAAAACGGCGCCGAAGCAGTCTCGTCCCGGGATTTCTGCGTAAAACCCCCGACACCAGCCCCGATTACACTCTTATTCATGGCTTTAAAGGGAGAACAAAGTTAAGCTTCGTTCATTTTAACTTCCACAAACACAACAGCTGTCGAAGCTCTGCTCTTCTCGCTTCTTCTTCATCTCCTTAGCTTCTTCCCACTGTCATAGTAAGCTCTCCAACTTACCTCCTCAAGTCCAGATCTCAACAAGGCCGAACTAATCTTCGACCTCCTGCTCCCATCTCGTTGCCTTAGCCCTAGCCTCCAACTCCCGCCTTCTTCTTCCTCTCCAATCCTCTTGCTCACCCGATCCATTTCTCCTGTCGACCCCTTCACCTGATACCAAAGCCAAACCCCGATTTCCTAACCTGTAGCTGGAGCCGAACATCTCTATCTCCACTTTACTTCCGATCCACTTCGACTAGAGCTAGAGCTCCCCTCCCATACATGTTCAAGCCAGCCAAACTCCATCTCCACCGACCAGACCCTGCCCTAGCTTTGGCCCGACCTCCTTGCTCGCTACAATCGATCTCCGAACCCTATCGAGCCTCAACCCTCATCTGGCCGAATCCTCCAACACGACCACCTCCTCTGTTTCCCTGTGTCGTGCCCTCTCCTTCCCAATCTTCATAGAGAGAGAGAGAGAGAGAAGCTTCTCTCTACCTTGCGCCTCTTCCCGCTCTACCTGCAGAGGAACCGACTCCATCTCCACGACCAGAACCGCCCGTCGCCGCTCTGCTTGCAGCCGACTTCCTTCCCTCCTCTGGCTTAGCCGCAAAAAGCCTTGGCCCGATCTTATATAACTTAACTCTACATATCCCTGACTCTGATTCACCCTAACCCGAGCCCTAATTAGTCCATTCAAAACCCAAGTTAACCCAAGGTAATCCCTACCCACTTAATTATTGCTAGTTATATTTAGTTATTATAATTATTAGTAATTATAATAATCATGTTATTATAATTAGTAATGATTATGATAATTAGTTTATAATTATTGATAATTATAAATAATTATTAATTATAATGATTATAGAAAATTGTGTTCTTTTAAACATGTGCTCGAAACCCTTAAACGCTCATGTAACAGACGGGGATTTAAAAAAAATGAATGCAATCGCGGTGTCATTTGACACCTACCTGAATTGCTCAAGTAGCGACGAGAGGAATGCTGCCTCTTGGTTTTTCCCTAAACGGAGGAGACGCCGGGAGGCTGTCGAAATTTGAACTGAATATTCTCAAGACTTGACAATTACAGTGGACTTTGTTTGGACTTGATTTGAACAATTAAATTGACTAAATACAAATGTGAATGATTAACTAAAAGAACTAATTCAAAACTTGTTTCAAACTTGATCAAAATGAACTTGAATTGAACAAGATCACTTGAGACTTATGAACTTGGTTTGAACCAAGTGAGAGGGACTTAGACTTGCCACCTGAACAAACAAAAGTGAACTTGAATGTGGACCGAAGCTGACAAGAACAAAGGATGCGCTTGAACTCAAACTTAAATGAAAAGTAGAGGACTTTAGTACTCACAAAAGACTTGAACAATTTGAACTTGAGCAATAACTCGAAAGGACCGTGAAAGACTTGTAAATGATATAATCAGGCTTCTTGCTATGATATCTTTAACGGATAACAAAATTTGCATGAGAATTATGGCAATTGATTTATGATATTCATCTCAACCACACATTCATGTGGTATAAAACTATGATGGTTTTGAACTATTATATCCAATATAAATACGTGAAAATGATAGAGCCCCATGAACATTGAGAGAAACCATACAACAAGCATGGTAGATTGTTGACAAATGTATGTGGGGAAATCTACCTACAAGTCATAACGCAAAAATCTATAGTTGATTCATGAAAGCCATGTCAAGTAGAAAGCAAGTTGCTAATTAGCATAAAAAAGGTTGGTGTTACCATTCATATTGTGAGAACATCGTGGAGGATGCAATAATGCACTTGCAACCAACAACTTGAAGCTTTCCAATCAACATTAAGAGATTTCTTGTCAACTTAAATGCTCACTACTCAAGAAGAACAATATACATACAAGAAAGTGCAGCCATTGGCATATGATTGGGAACTTGAACGTAGTGCTTGCATAAATATATCAACTCATTTGTGAAAGAGAGATTTGTAATAAACAGATAAATGGAGAGCAAGATGAGTATGATCTACACAGCCAAGCAACATACTTAATGAAATATTCATGAATGAAGACAAGAAGTATACAATGATATGCTCATGAACAATGCATGGAATGTATACAACAACATGCGAATATAAAATGAGATCAAGATTCTTAAATGCATGCAATAATTCACCCATGGGTAGATGTAGAAAAGACATCAGTAAATGCAGTATTTCTGTAGTCAACTTAAGTCTGTGAATGAATTCATTTACCTACAGCGGTAGTGGATGTGTTGTAACGGCCAAGACCACAAAACATGCAAGCACCTACGGGTTAAAGCAGGAGATTAATTAGTGCACTACAATCTACTTGCATAAATCATACAAGTAGTGCACGATAATCTACATGTACAAGGCAGCAAATAACTCAATCCAGAAGTTGCTACAACATGCCACTGGATCCGCAACATTCATGCAAGCGGACAGAAGGCATTTACAAATATTCCAAGAATGCCCCTGCACATGCATCGTAGTCTGTATGCACATAGGTACACAAGGGGTAAGTGTAATCATAAACTCGCATGGGCCCCGACGAGCATATTGTAGGGATACATGTGGCGTTTAGGGATGTTGCGCGGGTCAATAAATTTGAATCTGATCCTCCTAAGAAGGTAAGTAGAAGTTGATAAGGTTCAATAAATAACTATAAAATACCCCCAAACACCCGCATGGGCCCCGACGAGCGTGTTATGGGTACACATGTGACATATAGGGATGCTGCTTGGGTTAATAAGTGAGTTCAAGTTCGAACCTGATCCTTCTATATTGATCAATAGGAGTCGGCTGGATTCTAACCATCAAATAAATATACAGTTGTGGCAACCAGTATATTTGCTTTGATACATTCATATTAGACATTCAAAGTCTATAATCAAGAGAATTCACTAATGATGACACAAAGCTTACGAGAAACCAGATCCTCAGTCAATAGCTTGGTCGAGTTGACAAGGTTTAATCTATAAATGGAAACAACCTCAAAGTCACCCCGATGATGGCCATGTTGAATGTAAATTTCAACTGTAGGGGTTTATTAAAAATATTTCAAGTTCCACCTAAATACGCACAAAAATCCAAAAAAATAAAAAAATCCCAAAATTCCAAAAAGATCATCGAAATCCCGGATATTTAAATGTGAAAATAAATCATCCAATGCTTAAAGCAAAAACCCATCCACTGTTCGCAACAGTTTGCCGAGATGGACAAATTTGAATATAACTTCAGCTCACATAGAGCCAAATACCTAGTCGAAAATATTACTATGATCAATTCTCAAATAATCCTCTGCCAGTAAGGACGTGATATGTGTCTTCTAACAGGCGATTTTGCCACCAAATGGCACCGCAGGATAAACGGTTATGATCTGAGGCCCTCTGAACTTAGTGGTTTTGCCGCCAAATGACACCACCAAATACCGGTTATGACCAGAGCCAATATGTTCCTTAATGACATCAAATCCTTAAGATATGAATCAATAGGATATGATCGATAGGGCACAAAGCCCTCTCTGAGCTAAGGTGGATTCAAATTTGTTTCCTTTGACAAGCATTTACCTCAGTTCTATAAGATATCCTTGGACGAAGCTTTTAACATGCTCTTGATTTGATTTTTGTTAGCTAAGATGGATTCAAATTAATTTTTTAACTAAAAAGCTGCTTTAAGAAGCAATAAGAAAATTATCCCAAACGAAACCTAAGCCTCCAGATTAGCTCTACTTCCTAACATGCTCTTGATTTGATCTTTGTTATTGATTCCTTTGGAGTTGTAACTCATAGTTATGCTGCATTTTTACCTTTTTCTCTAGGATACAGCCAAATCATTAATAGAAGATGACACGTTCTACACCATGGGTGTTCTAAAGAAGGGTGCTTCGCACGCTTTTGCACCGCAAAATTTAAACTGCTGTTTCTGTGGTTTACCCCTTACCAAGGGGTCATCTTCATCAGGTATTCGAGTATTTAACTGTGGACATGCGATCCATCTCCACTGTGAATCTGGAGAAAATGAACCCCATAAAATGCATTCTGCTGTTGCCTGCCCGGTCTGTCAGCTTAGGAAGAATCCAAGGGCAAGAAGCAGATCAGCTACCAATGATAATGGATTAGTTAGTAATTATATCTCTACCTCACAGCACTCGCGAGGAAACTCTAGCCTGCAACATCTGCATGAAACTGATTTGATAGATAAGTCCTATGGCCTCCAGCAAATTTCTAGGGTATATTACTGACATGAAGTTATAGTTTTATTACCTCTTGCTTGCTTTATGAACTTATCTTTGCATCGTCGCCTTTCAGTTTGACATCTTGAATAATCTCCAGAAAAACAAGTCTCTCCATATTGATATTTTACCTCAGTTGAGGCTCGCGCCTCCAGCTATTTACCATGAAAAAATCCAGAAAGGGCCTGTTTCTTTGACAAGGGAGATGCTTAATACAGCACCAAAGGAAAAATCACATAAATCGAAGGGTTCACTAAGCCGATTTCCTTTAAAATCAAGCATCTTTGGTGTGTATCTACTCTATCTTATAAATTATTTTTTTACATGCTTCAACAATTGTCAAATGCATTGCTTTACTATCTCTACAATTTGTGCAGGAACTGAAAAAAGTAAAGTTCATTAATCCTTATCCAGCAGATAAAGAAGGGATAAATTTGCTTTGTGGTCATTTTGGTTTTGTTTGGGACGGTTTTCTTTTTGCTTTTTAAAGCAGCTTTTTAGTATCAAAAATTTTAATTTTGTATTAGTAATTTGCTTTAAGAAGCAGAAAGAAAGTCATCTCAAACGAAGCCTTTGCTTCTGGTGTTGGCAGGTACGTTTGACCGCTATTTACTCGAGGTCCTTAGCATACCTTGATATAAGGCTTGTTTATTATCATTTTTTTTAAACCGCAAGTTTAGTAAAACCTAAAGAAATATAATCCAACCTTAATAAACTTAATGATTCATGGTGGTATAAGTGGATGTAGAGCCGGAGTTAACAGTGGTTGTAAATTTTGCTTTGTATTTAGAGTTGTAAATTGTATAAATGTACACTAGCGGGATGTACTAGGAATAACTTAATTGTTCACTCTTCATTCATTCATAGCAAAAGGTTGCAGTCCGCGGTTCAAATTTTGTAATGGATACATTGTACTTGAAATCCGATGGTGTTTTTCGTAGCTGTCCAAGAGGTTGGTTCACTTTTGGGCATGCTACGTTTGTTTTGCTCTTCTTTTTCGAACACATTTGGCACAGCGTCAGAACCTTGTGCCTGTACAGTATAGTTAAACCCAAGTGCGTTATTGTCCTTCATTGCATAATTGAATGAGTCATTGAGTGCTGGTATTTAGTCGAAGCACAAGCTAACATTGATTTTGGGCTCATGGAGTATCCCATGGTTATCTACTTCTAAGGTTTCGTTTGGGACGATTTTTTTATTGCTTTCTAAAACGGAGTTTTAATACATATTTTTTTTATTTTATACTAAAATTCCGTTTTAAAAAGCAATAAAAAATCCGTCCCAAACGAAGCCTAAATTTAGGGCAAATTAAAATCTAACCGTCAAATTATTAGAAAAATCAAATATACATGTATTTTTGTGTATGTATTAATTATGTTAATAATTAATGCATATATATATTATATCACAGACAAATATGTGCATATGTGATGTAATGAGTCGATATCAAGTATTGAATTTATTTAAAATAAGATGAAAAGTATTGTTTTTTAAAATTTGAATCAATTAAAATTAAAAATTAAGTGATTATTAATTGATTTTCAATTTCTCAAAATAATTATTAGCCATAGTTTGTTATGATAACTTCTATTACTCCTTTAAACTCTATTATATTTATTTCAAGCATATAATGTTTACAATCTACTATTAAATTTCTTCATAATTGCATAATGAACAAAGTTTGTTTGTAGGTGAAAAAACTTATATAGTGATGATTTTATTCTTATGAAATTCTATATTGGATGGAGTTCAAAGTTGTTTGAAGATGCAAACTTATATTGATTTCTAATTACATTCAATCAATTAAATAATTAAAATTATATTATTTTTTAAACTTATTTTCTAACTTTAAGGAACCAAATGAGCTCTAAGATACACTCATGTTTATCTTATTTGTTTTGATAACTCCGACCTAATAAAAAATAAAAAAAATCGTTTACTAACACTGCCACTCAATTATGCCCTCTATTTATTTCTATCGAGAGCTTCAAAACTGGAAGGCTAACATCATTAGAGCCTCGTTTATTAGATTTAGGTTGTTTGATTAAGCACAAGCAATGCATAGTTTGAGTATTATTTATATATTTGCGTGGATGTGTTGACCTGCTTGTTCTTTTGAGAACTTGATTGATCAAGGTTTAGAAATCTAGATCCTGAGCTTGACATGCTTGGTTCATCTAATATTTTATCTTTTTAAAATAATAATATAAAAAAAAATTAAACTACCAAATTTATCATCAAATTTGGATTAAAAAAAGGAGAATATATATAAAAGATTAGAGAGTAACATTAGATGGTTTGGTCATATAAAACGGCGGCCTTTCGATGACTTGGTTAGAAAGGTACATGTATTAGATTTTGACTTATGTTAAGAAAAATAAAGTTAGACCTACCTAAAAAGATTTGGTTAGAAAATATTAAAAATGTTCTTTCTTTTAGATTTAGATGAGAATTTGACTCTTATCAAGACACAATGAAGAAAAAAGATTCATGTAGTTGACGCACATATGGGATGGTTGGTAGAATCTAGGATTTCATTTAAGTAGGATTTTGCAAATCCTCCAAATTTGGATTTACGAAATTCTGAGGGGGTTAAATCCTGAAAATTGTTTGGTAACATTCATGATAAATCCTATGGGATAGTTTGACTATTTCATTCAAGATTTAAGGAGGTTAAAAGATTTGGGCGGAGTTTCTTCCTTCCTGTGCCAATATAGCCTAAGGATTTTGGAAATCTGCTAAACGAGAGGATTTTCGAAATCCAGGATTTACGACGAAAAGGCGGAATTTTCCGTCTACAGCAGCTTTGATTTTCCATGATATTTGGTTTTGCATTTTAGGCCGTTAGGCAGAATTTCACCTCAATTTCGGCTTAAATCCGCATACCAAACAGCCACATAATAGGATAAAGGCTTGCTATTGTTGTTATTGTTGTAATATTATTATAAAGCATTTTGATTTTTTTAATTCTAAACTTTCATTTTATTTATCAAAAATAAATCTCAACCATTAATTCTATTTATTATTTTAATTTATTTATATTAATAATATTTAATACGTAAAACTTGCTTTAATTATATATTAAATATTCTTAATTTATCTATTTATTAAATCCATTCTATTTTGTTAATTTCACTAAGTCTGAGCAGTCAGTAGCATTTATTGTTAGAAACTCTAATCTAAAGTAACTTTTCATTTAAATATAACTAATATTAGTTAAGCAAATTACAGATCACTTGTCCTCCCGGGTTAACTGCATTTATGCTAATTTTATTTTAAATAATATTAGTTACATTTAGTCTATACAAGCGTTGATTTTTTTTTTTTTTAAATTAAAATTAATCTGCACGCCTCTTTGAATTTCGCTCCATGCATTTCTTCCTACAGTTCGCACGACATCCGGACACCCAATCCAGATAAGCCACGTCACCCGAATACACTGGGCCCGATATATTTGGGTGACGTGGTGCGTCTTGGACTGGTGTCCGGACGAATCCGGACACCAGACGTAATAATTTGCCCTCTTGCATGAGCTTCATAGTCTCTAAAAAGAGCTTCTTCACCTTCTTCGCATTTTCGGATCTAGCTCCGCGTGCTTAAGGTGAAGAAAAGTTTTGAAAAGTTGTTAAAGAAGCTTCTTCGCTTCTTTGAAAGTCACGACCGGAGGCGCAAAAAAGCGTGTGCTTCGCATGAAGAAGAGTTTTGAAAGAATTGATAAAGAAGCTTCTTCGCCTTCCACAACCACATTTTTCATGTGAGATCGGAAGTCACGGACGGAGGTCTCCGTGAAGCACTACGTTCGTTGTTTTTTTATTTCATGTATCTAGTATTATTGGCTTTTTCGAGTCAAGTTAGTTTGTGCGACGATTGTCTTGGAATATATATTGTGGATAAGTTTATCCAAAAAAACAGCCAACACACCAGTGTTCTGAATTTAATTGCATTGATCCGCCATAGTTCTATCCAAACACCACCGTAGAACACCACCGTAGGTGAACTTCGATCGACCACTACTTGGCCACTGATCATCTCCGGACCACTGCCTGTCTACCCACATCCGACGGGCCACTGCATGTCTGTTGACCGTCAACAGACCATAGCTTATCACCCGATCACTGTCGGACCTCCGCTCGTTCGCCAGCCGCCGACCACCTTCGACCCTCTGCCCGGCCGCTGACCAATGACCACTATTTAACCTCTACCCGACCAATGACCGTCACCGAACTACCGCACATCTACCAACTGGGCAAGGTCCCCTGATTTTTCTCTTTTTTAAGAGTTTTTCCACGTAAAAATTTTGGAGTCTCTTCTGAATGATGCATCAATCTCTCTTTATTTGTTTGTTGGATCTTTGCCCAAAGCTAAGACATTAAGCTTTATATCTCTACGTATCATGAATGTTCTAGGACTCAACACTACTTAATTTAAATTTCAAATTAAATATTATCCAAAGAGATAATTAAAATATAATTTTTTGTTAACATGAAAACACATTCTAATTTCAACGACTTTTTGTCATCTTGACACAACTTTTCTTCTAAATGTGAATTGATTGATTATTTTCTTGAAAAAAAAAATGATTGTTTTCATGACAGTATTAATTCTATATATATATATATATATAT